CATGTTCAATCTATCTCTGCCTGTAAGAGTTGGTAGAAATCATCTATTTCTTCTTCTTTGGCTCTGGTTGTTGGTGCATATATCTGGATGATAGTAGTGTTCACTGGACTTCCTTGTAAGCGTATGGATATAATCCTATCACTCACAATGTTGTACTTCAAGATGGACCTGGAAATTTCTTTTTTGACTATGAAAGCAACTCTATTTTTCCTGACCTTTTTGTCTCCAGAATAAGATATCATATGATCATCTGACTCGAGATGCCCCATGCCAGTTCATCGCATCTCTCCAATGCCTAGTATGTCAATATTTATGCGTTCCATTTCTTTCTTAATGATTTCTAATTTTCCTACACTCATGGTTCCCACATTCCATGTTCCAATTACTATATCATTAAAAAGAATATTATTTCATGTAGATTCCAAATAACAAATCTGAATTTTGAAATTGAACCTCTACACTGTGAGTTTGGTTGGGGGGGGTTTTCCCCCCCATAAAGTGAAGTTACTCGTCATTCTGTTTCACAATATATTTTTACTTTAATGTAAATAACAGCAATAATAGCAATTATGTATTCCTGATAAGTTAATAAAATAAATAAAATTTTAATTAATCATCTTCCATGATTTTTTCATTAATTTTGTTGTTGCTGTTATGTGCCGTCTAGTCACCTAAAACTCATAGTGACCCCGAAGATTTGTTTAGGTCAAGAGTAGTCCTCTTTAAATAATAGAGAATATAAACATACTATACATGTAAATGCATGATGTGATGCAATGAATTAATATGTCCCTCCCATTCATAACCTTTGATTTTGTAATTCTATCCTCTCTGTTCTTGAGATATCATTAAAAAATGGGTCATTTACTGCATTGAAGAGATAAGAATAGGATACAAGCTCTACCATACTAGAAGGTATTATCCCAGGAAGACATCACCCTTAGTTCTCCTGGGAATATGCTTTAAAGCTCTAAAAAAGCTGTAAAAGAATGCTCATGGGCATGCTGGAGAAGGGCACTAAATATCCTATAGACTTTCCAGAGAATAAACATGTCTTAGAGAGAATGCAGGCAGAATGCTCTTTAGAAGGAAAGATGGTGAAACTTCATCTTACATTTTATGGGCATGTTGTTCGATGGGGCTGGTCCTTGGAGAAAGATCTCATGCTCAGGAAAAGTGGAGGGTCAGAAAAGGAGGTGAAAACACTCAAGGCCATGGACTGACACAGTCATGTAACAATGGGCTTTAGTGTAGCAGAGATGATGAGAATGGCACAGGATAGGCAAAGTTCACAGGGTTGTGATGAGTAGTAGTGCACCACACAGCACATAACAACAATATTAACAGCGTGGAAGCTCTATGCTTGTTCACCTGGAACATTGCATCTAACTGGTTTCAGTTGTGCCAATAATCAACAACAGACAGTTGACAATAAATATCCAACAGCTGACAACTGACAACATTCAATTAACAGCCTTAGCCTGAAAGTTCCTGCCCCATCATTTATCTGTCTCTGCAACCACGTAGTGCATGGGCCTACACCATCCACAGTCCAATGAGCCATTTCCATGACTTTTTTTTTCTAGTTTTGTGAGACCTTTCATAAAATCACAGAACCTAAACACAGACTTCAGGGAATGAGAGGACAGAAGGTAGGAGGGATAATTAATATCAGGTTGTTGGAATAGTACAGCAGTTTGGACATTTGGAACATTGTTAACTTCTATCTTATGGCAACTCTATTGTTATTTTTAGGCATCATCAAGTCAACTACAAGTCCTAGTAACCCTATGAACAATAGATATGAACCTTGCCTTATCCTCCATCATCCTCATCATTTCTATTATGCTCAAGTTCATTGTGGTAGTCACTGTGTAAATCTATCTCATTAAGGATCTAGTCTTTTATCAACCCTTATAAAAGAAATTATTCATGTAAGTGACAAACTATATCATTTCCAGTATTAAAAATCTCTATTTACTACTAATTATCATAAAAGATGGACTTCTTTTTGTTCTAAACACTATAGAACAATTAACCTTTCTTCCCTTGCCCATTTGACAAATGCTCCAAGGGTATTATTTTGCTTCATTTACAAAAATCAAACTTAATGACTAGCATTCAAGTCTAACAGTTATTATCTCAACAACACTTTATCTTTACAGTACTTCTGAAGTAGCTAACATGAGCTTAGTCACTTTTTCACCAGTAGTGAAACTATAACACTTCTAGTAGGTGGCCTAGTGGTGAGAAGCTGCACTGCAATCCCAAAGGCACCAGGTTTGCATCCACCAGCTGCTCTGAGGGAGAAGAATGGGCAGTTTCCTCCTATGATATCTGTTACATCTAAAAACCTGCTGGAGGATCAGCTGTGGTTTGGTTCCAGCTTAATAGCACACAATGACAACAACATGTGACTTTATCCAGAGTACCTAATTTTTTCTTCTTTGCAATGAAGCAAAAATGGCTGTTGGTTGAAGTGCTTCCCTAGTTATTTTGACATGAATTAATGAATATCATATCATATCAATGTCTTAGAAGAATGAAGTGACTAAAACTGTCCAAGTTAAAATCCATCACCTCAAAATGGGCTGATTTGTTTCCTATGGTGGATTTGCAGAGGATTTTGCAAGCTGGGAAAGTATATTCTTACCTCCTTACAGTGCCAGGCAGGAGAAAGCCCTGAGTTGGTATGACCAATTCGAATCTTAAAGAGTGTTCCAATGTCTCCAACAGTGATCTATGAAGAAACCCAAAGAACATCTTTTGATGTAATTTCACAAAATCGACTTAAAATCAGTCCTCACAAGGACATTAGATATTGAAAATACAGTCAAATATATCAAGATGTATATTAATTCTAAATAAGCATCTCAGAACAGAGCCACAAAATATGTGAATCAAATTGAGAGAAATAAACAGTGATGATGATGGAGACATCAATATGCAACTTTGAATAATGCACAGACACAAAGACAGAATAGTAATAAGGACATACACAATCCAAACATTATTAACTAAGTAGACCTATCAAACATATAAACAATATTCCACCCAACAATAATAGAACACATAGTCTTCAATGCAGGTGGATTCTTGTCCAAAATTGATCAATTTTAGATCACAGTGCAAGTCTGAATGAATTTTAAAATATTTAAATCATATAAATTATCTTCTTTAACCACAGTGGAATAAAACTAGAAACAAGTAACAGAAAAAACTTTAAAATGTTAAAATGTGTGGAAATGTCAAACATATCATTGAACAACCAATGCTTACTTAATAAACAAAATGGTTCTCAGGCTGTAAATTACATAGAAGGAGACGGCTTATCTCTCTCCCATGACGTTGCCAGAGAATTTGAACAGCAGAGAAGCTCATCCTTTTGAGTCAGCAGCACAACTCCCTATAAACTATATAGGCCGCATTAAGTAGAAACAGAACAATGATTAAAAAAATAAATCAGATCATTATAGGTAAAATCACTTCTAGATTTATTTCTTAAATTATTTCTTGCACATGCATAATAAGAACAGTCTTGTCAAGATTTTACTTCTAGTGATCTTGAACAAAAGAAAAAAATCTCCAAATATTGACTCAGAGAAAAAAATAGGGAAAGAATATTTAAGTAAACGAATAGTAAAGATGTTCCCATGTGAGTCAGCCTCTTATATAAAGTATGTGAGTTGAATACACAGACATTAATGAATTGAACTTAATAAGTGAAGATAGACAATCTGTAAGATGTTAAGATATTAAGGTATCAGGGGAGCTCTGGTGGCCTAGTGGCAAGGAGCTGCAACTACAATCCCAGAGGTACACGGTTCGAATCCACCAGATGCTCTGCCGGGAAAAGGAGGAACAATCTCCTCCTGTACCAGTCAGATCTGATTTGATGGTACACTCACACAAAAATAAAAAAAAAATAATAAAAAAAAGATCTTAAGGTATCCTTTTCTGATTGTGATTTTAGCCTCTGTCTTTAAGCAGGTCAAGCCTTTCCTAGCCATTTGTGCAAATAACAGTATAAAATCACTACAAGTTCATGGACAGTCTACTTAGTCTGTCTTGGTTTGGAAGCTCTACTGAAACCCATCCACCATGGGAGATCCTGCTGGTTATTTGAAATACTGGTGGTATGGCTTCCAGCATCACAGCAACACACAAACCACCACAATACAGCAAACTGACAGATAAGTGAGAATAGACAAAGATGATGAAGGTTCATCTCACGTACTTTAGGTATGTTATCATGAAGGACCAGTCCTTAGAAAAAACAACCTACTGGGAAAGGCAAAGGGTCAACAAAAGAGGTGAATTTCCTCAGCAAGATGGACTGACTCAATGATGGCAACAATGGATTCGAGACTGTGGAGACTACAGGATACGAGGAGATGGATAGCTTTTCTTCCTAGGATTACTATGAGTCGTGGTCAACTCAGTGGCACCTAACATTAACAACAGTGTTACTCTATAGCGATTGTCCCTTTTAATACCTATTACTTATGTTTAATCTATTGGAGCAAATCTTGCCAAAAACAACTTTTGATTGATCTTTTGCAGCAGAAACAATGCTATATATAATATAAAGACCAAAATTTGATACTTTACATTCATTTCAAAATACCAAGTGACTTTAATAGCTTACATTCATTCCAAAATATTTAGTGACTATATTGCTTACAATACAACCATATTACTTACAATAAAGATATCTTCCTGGCCATTCTGAAATCGAGCCCCACCTGTTCCATACAGATATATGGGGGCTGAGCTTCTGTGTTCTCCATATAGTACAATATAAATCTGTGAACTAGTTCCTGCATTGGGCAAGTCACTTGTGGTTATGGAAACTTTCCAGTTATCACCTATAGAAGCACAAATAACATATAGACATTAGAAAAACTTATAAATATGGAATGCTTAGGACAGCAAGAGCAGCAAAAACCTGGGAGAGTTCAAAAAGGTTAAAATACATTTAATAATAAGGTTAGAGAGATATTATCATCCTACTGTAGTTAGCCAGGCCAAAATTCAGAGGGAATCACTACAAATATTCTTGGAAAATTCCAATATTTTTACAAAATATCTTCAATACTTTTCGCTCTATCATGTGCTCATGATTAAGTCATCTAATATATATTTATGTTTCTGATATTTGACAGTAGGCAATAAATAAACATCAGGATAAAATAAATTAAAGGAGGCCTGGTGGCATGGTACCCAATGTATCAGACTGCTAATTAAAGAGTTAGGGATCCTTAGTGGTCTACTGGTATGAAGCTGCACTGTAATCCAGAAGGCACACATTTTTAATCCACTAGTTGCTTCACAGGAAAAGGATGGCAATCTCCTCCCTACACTTAACTGCCTCTGAAAACCCACTGGAGGGTCAGCTGTGGCTCAGAAGAGACTGGACAGTACTCAACAATAACAATCAAAAAGTTCACATTTCAAATCCAACAGCCACCCCTCTGGAGAAAGATGGGCAGTCTTCTCTGGCAAAGATTTAATCATATAAACCAGAAGAAATTTGGAATAGCTAGTACAATTTCTTCATTTGTTATTTTAAATATTTCTGATTACTAAAGAAACTGGGTCCCAGAAAAAAAGTAAGTTTTTATATTATAAAGGAACAAAGGGGTCACATAATAAGTGTTTTGTGATGAAAAGAACTAATTTTCTTTATTATAGCATTTTAATGTTGTTCTTGTTGTTGTTATGCACTTTCAACTCAGAGTGGACTCATAGCTTACTCTCCAGTGAGTTTTTAAAGGCTGTAAATCACACAGGAGGAGACTGCTCCTCTTTCACCAGCACAGCAAGTGGTACATTCGAATCACCTGTCTTGAGTAGGCACCACAGCTCCTTACCCAATAGGTTACCAGAGTTCTGTAGCATATTAATAGTGGCAAGGTATTGCAGTTGTTGTTATTATGTATCGTTGAGTTACAACCAACACATACCTGATCCTCTAGTGGGTTTTCAGAGGCCGTTAATCACACGGGGAGGAGACTGCCCATCCTTCTCCCATGGAGTAGCTGTTGGCCTCAAACCACGTACCTTTGGGATATTACTAACAAGGATTTTAATTTCACTTATATTAGTCATTGTAAGAAATTTTGCCTTGTTTCTTTGGAGCAAACAACATAGAAAACTGAAGGAGTGAGCAATCAGAAACCACACTCAAGATTATGTAATATAACTAAAAATATTAAGCAACAAAATCCAGAACATTGGGTTTAAATAGCATTTTATCCCTTAGACAGGAGAATTTTTTTCCCCTTCCGAAGTTGAATAAAAGTGTTTTTCACAGATTCAGTATTTATAACAACATAATAGTACAGGTAGTGAGATCCAAGATGGCAACAGAGGCAGAGACAGCGTGGTGAGCTGCAGGAGCAGTGAACCACTTAAAGCAGGGCCATTATGGCCTCCTACAGACTTCAGCTTATTGATAATTGAACACTTAAACAGTTGATGACTGGCCCTAAGTGAAGATCGAGGCTCAACAACAGGAATTCAAGGATTCCCAGGGAGGAATGGGTGAGTCTCGTGGCTCCCAACCCCCTCCCACAGAGCCCGCGCCGTGCTGCACAGCCACTGCAGCCCCATGAGGCTTCCACAGCCAGAACCAATGGATTCCCTCACCCAGGATGGATGCTGGGCACCGGTCCTCCTCAAGACTGGTACAGTGAAGCCACCACGCTGCTGCAGGGTGGACTTGTTCTAAAGTGAATTCTTGGAGCCAGGATGGCAGCAGTAGGGGAAGTGGGTGCCCACCGGCCGCCCGCACAAGAGGGGCCGCGTGGCTGCCAAGCACCTGTGCAGCGGGGTGGGGGGGGGCGCATGCCCCGCTGGCCGCCTGCGTAGGAGGTAGGGGATGGGATGCATGCCCGCCATCTGCAGGTTTGGGTTTCCTTGGACAGGCCAAAGAAGATGAATACCTATACAATGGATTGCTGAAAGTCACTGTGAGTCTGATGACGTTAACAGTGGCAGCATGCAAAAGAGGACCCACATCCTAAATGCACCACATATTTTGTTCTGTTGAATGCTTTTGCCAAAAGATGGTTAGACCTGGGGGGAGTCTGTTCACAATTCTCAGGTTCCCTTTATCATATATAAAGGGGGAGGGCAGTGACACCTACTTCAAAATACAGTATGACCACTTATGGGGGGGGGGTAAAAGTGGCAGTGCTGGAATGGGAGACACTATCCCTGACCACAGAGTCCTCAGTCAGGCGAGGGGACCAGTCTGGGGTAGGTGCAATTGGAGGGGGAGTATACCAGCCAGCTCCTGAGGGGTGTTGCCCTGTTTGGATGGGCTACCCTCAGCCCCTGGCTTGGGGCAAGCCATCGTGGCCCTCTGCCCAGGGCAGGCTGCCCTCGGCCCTCGGCTCGGGGTGAGCTGTCGCAACCCTCAGGGTGAGCTCCTCAGTCCCCAGATTGTGCCATCTGACCCCTGGGTGGGGAAGGGGAAAAAAAAAGAATGCCTAGGGTATCCAGAGAATGTTACCTAGGCCACCTTCTGCCACCCTCCCCCTCAGTAAACCTGAAAGCAACACCCTCAAAGCCCTTTTATTTGTAACTCACAAGTTTGTTCTCTCTAGGTTTGCTCCCTTTCCTATAGGTAACCTTAACACTGAGTTTTACTCCAGAATTGACTCTGAACCCAGTGCCAGTGACAAAAATGAAATACAACTGACAGCTAAGGAAGCAAAGGAGGATGGAGCCTCTGGGTTCAACCAGCCATCCCCACTGGACCCACCTGGGAAAACACTTTGCAGTCCAGAGGGGAGCAAATGACAGGAAAATATCTTCTAACGGTGCAAGAAGGCAAGCAGCTTTAATCCAAGACCACCAGTAAGGAGATAAAGTGTCCTCCCTTCCCTCCTTTAAATCTATGCCCCTGTTCAGCATGAAGAAGCCAGAGAGTCAGCATCCAATTCCCAAATCAATAAGACAATTGGTTTAATTACCATTGGAAAATGCTTGTCATTCTTCTGTAGCATCTGGTCACCACTGGACCCTCATCATTTCCTTCACCTGCTCCCCCCACCGGCCAAACTGTGCAGCTCTGAAACTGCATCCTGGTCCATCCTCACCCTTCTGCCCCCAACCTTTGCCTCCCTGTACCCCCAATATGTTTTTCCCAATAAAAGAAAAAAAAGGGCATTTAACAACAGCAACAACAACAACAAAAAAATAGTACAGGTAGCTCCATCCAGCTGTTCAAATCTACAAGCTGCTCCACATGACAAAGATGGGAAATCTCCCAACTCGATGGCACATAACAATATGGCACAATTAATTCTGGTCTTACAGCCCACAGTGTGTTGTAAAAGATAACAAGTCTTACATGGTTGGAATGTACAAATAACTGCAAAGGAGAAAGATGGCAGCAACTAAGCATTAAGATGCACAGCCTCTAAGACGGGTTTTTTTGTTCTTTTAGCAGTTTGTAGAATACTCAATACTCTTCTCCAAAACCACAATCTAAAGGTAACAGTAGTTCTTCCGTCTTCCTGCTTCATTGTCCAATTTTCACATGCATATGAAGCAACTGAAAATACTATGACTTGGATCCAGTAACCTCTATAAAGGAATGTCCTGGCTCTTTAGCACTTCAAAGAGGTCCTTGAGATCATATTTACCCAACACAGCACATCTTTTGATTTCCTGACTATTTCAACCATGGGTGATAATTGTGGATTCAGGTAAAAGTAAATCACTGGCAACCTCAATCTTTTCTCCATATATCAATCATAATGTTACAATAATGAATGGTACATAATTACTAAAATAATGAACTTTTTTGTTTTCTTGAAGTTGAGATGTAATGTATATTGAAGGCTGATGTCTTTGATCTTCATCAGTATGTACTTCAAGTCTTCACTTTCTGAAAGCAAGGTCATATCATCTATATATCATCTGTCTGGTTGCTGATGAGTCTTCCTCCAATAGTGATGCCACATTCCTCTTAATATAGTCTAGCTTCTTGACTGATTCATTCAACATATAGTTTGAAGACGTATGGAGAAAGCCTATATTCCTGACATGCACTCTTTTTAATTTTTTTTTGGGGGGAGAATTTTTTAATGACTGAAATAGAAGATTTAAAATCTCAGCTTCTGGAAGAACCACTTGTTTTTGCCTGTCTTGTACCTCTCCTCAAACTTGACTTTGGCTTCCCGTCTTGCCTTACCTTTTAGAGCAGGGTCTCTGAAGACATCCCTGTTAATAACGGTTTTGCCCAAGGGGATATTCATGGAGTACCTTGTGGGCATGAGGTGATTGTAGTTATAAACTTTCATGAAGGACTTGATCTTTGACCTCTTGGCAATTTTCTTCTTGCCCATGGCAGCTGTCACTTTTCAGGGATAGCAGTCAATTCAGGTACCAGAGCGTGGCTGTAGGGATGGTCAGAGGTGCCATTATCAATGTTCTTGATGATGACAGCTTTGCATCCAGAGTAACTTCTGGCCAGGACCAGCACCACCTTCCCTGGCATCATGAACTTCCCCATTTAAACAGCAACCACCCAGATCGAACACCCTCTTCCTAATTTTAAAGGGTGCAGTGTCTACTTGACCTGTTCGAATATATGCTACCTGATCTATGTATAGGTTTTGCATGAGCACAACTGTTGTTGTTAGGTACTGTCAAGGAGAGTATGACCCATAGCAACCCAATGAACAATGATCTCAACCTGGCCCTGTCCTGTGCTATTCTCATACTTTCTGACACACTTAAACCCATTGTGCCAGTCACTGTGTCAATCCTTCTGGCTGAGAGTCTTCCTCTCCTTCGCCAACTCTCTGCTTCTCTGAGCATCATGTCCCTCTCCAGTCTTTCCTAGCAGCCT